CGGGTTGCGGTACGTTGTGAAACAATGGATTCGTTTCGATAACCCCACCGGCAGTACCGCTACGGGGCGTTAAGGAATGTGATTCAAATTTCGAAATTGGATATATCCAGCTAGTTCCCAGGTTAGCCAAGTCCGGCAACGCAAACTGTGGCAAACCTTCTGACATTGAACCAACCACATCAGGGAGTAATTGCGTTAATCCAAGCCTGATATGACCCGACCAGCCACGTTCATTTTTTTCGATTTCAACTAGAAAAATTTCGCCGGGTTGAAGTGGTTTCTCTGAAAAGGTAACTGCATCAGCGAAGCTGGCTTTGCGGTAGGCGACCGTGTTGTCTTCACATAAAATTATATTGGCGCCATGATACGGATGGAATCGAGCTAATTGTCGTTTGTTGATGGTATTACAAGTCTGCATTTTTTCAGCGTTGACTGGATTGTTAGTTGGTAGACTGCCCATAGAAACCGATGCAGAGGTGCCGGAACCGACTTCAACCTGAGAAGCAGCTGCCACTGGCTGTAATTGCCTTGGTACTGCCATTTCGCTGTCCATTTCTGAGATTTTAGCTCTATATATTATTTTTTGAGTTAATTAAGGTTCACTGAAACGAAGTTCCAAGCTATTAAACCACTTTTACTAATTTTTCATATTTTTCCGAATATGCGAAATGAAAACAAATATGTACAAAATTGCACCCGACTTGGGATTGTCAAAATTATTGAAAGAATGAAGTGGTGCCATTTTTTGAACTCGCACATACAAGTGGTGTTTTCTTAGCTTTTCCAGTTCAGTATCACGATCATTTCTCACGGAATGGATCATTCTTATTGGGGTCGGCAGCACTAATTTTATACTACTAGCACGAGGAAAACGAAATTATAAAATTAACTCACTAAATGGGGAAAAGTACATTTAAACGAAATAATATTCACTTAAACAAGTATTTAACGTAAAGGCAATTTATTTGTGTAGCAAGTTAAGAGAAGCAATGCGAGAATATTGAAATTCCTGACAAATTTTAAGTATTATCTTTCAATCAGAAAAAAGTGTTGCTAATTATTGCAAACTTTTTATCCGGATCCCGAAATTCCTGACAAATTTTAGATATTCTCTCTCTATCAGACAAAAATGTTGATAATTAGTAGAAATTCGTATCAACTATTTACATTCCGAACAGAACTAATTTGAATAAACAAGTTTTTTAAATTTTAAAATGTACAAACTTTAGCGACTTGCTAATGGAAAACGCAAATACATACTTGTAAACTTATACAGGGAGAATTCGCAAGTTCCCCTCAAAATGGAATGTAATTTGCTCTTAATTTTCCCTTCCTTGCAATTTTTTTCGACATCTCGGACATAATTTACGACAAATCGTGATAACTCAATTTACACCCTCCCAAATTGTATAGCAAATCGCCATACGGTCAAACATTCATATATAACACTTAATAATATATATAATAGATTTGCAAGCGTTCTTTGATATGAATACGGGTAAGTTCTATGAGCATGCGTATGAGTTGCTATGGAGATAAAATAATAAAAAATTTTCCGTTGGAATGCGCATTTTAGTTTCACTGTATTTAGCAAGCAACAGCTGTTTTCTAAGCCTTGGCAGCATTGTTGTGTTCATGTAACCAAAAAATTTAATTGCCTCCTTTTCGTACGGGAATAATTAATTTATTTGGGCGCCAATAGGTAAAATT